GGGGGGGGGGGGAGAGGGCTGACGAGAACGTGCTCTCGAATAAAAAGGGCTGCATCGTGGTCCTTTCATAAAAGTAACGTTCCCGTCATCGAGGGGTGTTTTTGTACCCCAGACGAGTATTCCTGTACGGGGTTGGAAAAAGGTATTATGTCGAACCCTCGGCAAAGTCACTAAACAGAAGTAGAAATGTTAACGGGAGAGAAACATAGGGAGAATGGGGCAGATGGGATAAAGAGAAAAATCGCAAAAAGGGGTTGATTTCACGTGGAGCAACGCAGAGGGGTTAACCTATTAACCATAAACGTGAAGTCCTCGTACGATGACCGGTAATAACCTCAAACGTCTCTTGACTAATTGAAAGACATTTTTTTGTATCCCTTTCCGTACCACGAGTCGTTCTTAACTTATCTTTTCATCCCTCCTTAACGCCCTGCTGTCTCTGACGAATGTCGCACGCCGTCAACGCCCACTTTTTACACACTGAACTTTGACCCCGTCAAGCCCGAGAAAAGTGCAGTAAGAAAAACACAGCTTTCCGGTAGGACAGTAAGCGCCTCTTCTTCCGCGAAGGAGCAAAAAGCAACCCCTAAAATCTCGAAGTAAGATTCCAAGAAGGGGACGCGTGCTGTTTCGTAATATATTTTTTTGTATTAGCTATATTTCGAAGAATAATGTCGTTAACCTATGAGGGATGTCAATTTCGTAGATGCCAATATACGTATTCGATGTACTGTGGGATATTGCATCATCGTCTGAAATTTTCGTATTCGTACTTCGTGTACGTGCTTGTCTATCGGAACCAGTAAGAAGAGCTATCGAAACTAATATTGAGAATGATACAAATTGGCGTATGCACATATGCGAGAACGCACACGTCGGTGCATCGACCCCTGCATTTCCATGATAAAAGAGGCTCGACGATCCCTCTGATGGGGGTTGACCAGGAGCAGGCACGCACCTAGTTGTGCGACGCGCAGTCTCGAACCCGATTGGCCGAAGGGAATCCGCGCCAAGGAGCGGAGACCAGTTGAGCGCGAGTTCTCGAGCCGAACGGTTGTACGGAACGGCGCAGCGTGTTTACACGACGTCGACGTAGACTCGAACGAACTTCATTCGGTTTTCTTAACGTAATTGTCAGTGTTAGTTCAGCCTCTGCATTTGTTTAATATCCGTCAAGAATAATTCGCCGAACCTATCGTGAACTGTTGTTATTATAAAATGGCCGTTAAGAGCCTGCAGTTACGTTGGTGATTCTCTCCTGCAGACTCGAGTGTTCAATTATTTTATCAAGTTCTGGGATTTTATCCGTGAACGCTGAGGAGACTCGACGACTCGTGCGGTAAGTTGCGCAAAGTTTATAATCGAACGATTTTATTGTATATTGATAACGGTATATCAGCGTCGCGTGGCGATTCGCGGGAAAGCCGCTCGTGTCATTTATATCGCGGTCGATTTCTATGAGACTTTTTTCTTTTTATTCTCTTTGACGAACGAATAATTGCAGTTTCTTCCTGCACAGTGACATTTCCTTCCGGAAGTGAAGGAGTCCGATGAGAATTGTACCAAGTGTTCAATGAACTCAATAGTGAGAGAAGAGAGAGAGAGAGAGAGAGAGAGAGAGAGAGAGAGTGAGCGAGTGAGCGAAGGGGGCCGGGTACTGCTGGGACACCGCAAAATGAACGAAGGCAAAAGGAACGAAATAAGCAAAAAGTCTTTACTTCGCGAAGAGAGGAACCTGCTCGACCTCTCCCTCTCTTTTTCTCATTCTCTTTACTCCTCATTCCACGTTTTTTCCTCTTCTTGCCTCTCTAGTCCTCACGTACTACCTCAGCAGCAACAGCAGCTGCCTGAGAGAATGGATCTCCGAGTACAATACAATGCGCGCGTGCATTTATGTAAAAATATTTTTGGCAGACCCTCGTGAATGTCACTGAAAAATTGTCAACTGCACCAACCGTACCCATACGGGTCTAGGGTATACATACGTGCATATGCACTTATTTACGGACCTCACGCCGCCATGATATCCCATGGTTGGCTGGGTAACGTTATACCTAATTTCCGCGTTATAACAAACTCCAGCTCTTACTCTTACCGAATAAACTCGACACTCGGGTTACCCACGTTCTCGTACGTATTCCCGGCTTATGATTTGGAACCGTTGCTATGCAGCCGAAAATTACTCGTAACAAGATTTATTTCATTTAAATGAGGATGCGCCCTAGGCGTTCACTCGGCTAGATGCCTCCGCTTTAAATTCTCATTGAGCGTTCATGGTGTACCATGGAGTTGAACTCTATGAACGATGCATCGTACACGACACGTACTCACCTATAACTCGTGGGAGCGTCGCTTCGTTCTATTTAAACGTCCTTAGAGATTTTTTAAAGATCGTAACAGTACCTTATCTTTTTTTTAAATCAACGAAAAATCCATTTAATTTAAAGTTCCACGGTACGTGAAACGTTCGACGGCTTTTCACACGGGAGTTCTCGCTCACTTGGAACTTAGTCGTGGCTTCTGGGTAAGGGTGAACAAGATGCCGCGATATCAGGCGCACGTGAACAAATACACAGTTTTACTTTGCGCATCATTCTGCTTCCCGGAACCTGATGAGTTCTTTCGAAGTTCGTGGCGAGTCGTAGGAAAGGTATGAGAAAATGGAAGCCCTTTTTTTCTCCACTGTGCTCTACGGGACATGCGTGGTAAACGCTGACAGTAGAAGTTTGAAGTTAATGGAAATAGGGACGAAAGAGTTAAGCGCTTATTGGCTGACGTAAAACTATATATATACAGGGCGAAGCATTTAAATCGAGACTGTCAAACTACTTAAAAAAATGCTTGACACAAGAGTTGTATGGGTTTAAGGGGGCAATGGAATGGCCTATTTTGATTTTATTGATGGAGGATTTTAATTAAAGTAACCCATTCTATTGCCCATCTTAAACCCATACAACTTTTGTCTCAAATATTTTTTCATACAAGACCTTATTCTTAAGTTATTTGACAGTCTCGATTTAAATGCTTCACCCTGCATATATGGAGAAACGTACGATACTTATGCGAAAATTACACATAGAAAAGCCCGTACACCCAACTCTCTCGCGACTCGATCTTGCTCGACGCTTCGCATTTCTCGCCATAAAACTGCTCGGGAGTAGCCGGCGAATAGGAATAGGAAGTGACGGGTGGTGGTTTCGACGCGTTTTATTTTATACGGGGTTAATTTGAAATTCAGATTTTTCAAAGTTCATAGACGACTAATTTTCAAGGGATATCCCACTGTTCTTTCGTGAACCGGAAGTGATCGATCTGACGTTTACGATCGTGGATTTTTAAAAAAATTTTTCTCTTTAACCGTCTTGGACGAATTGCAGTTTAACACGAAGGACGCGAGTTTCAATCTCTCAAGTGATAACTCAGTCCTTTAATACCGCTCGTCAAGGGAAACGAGAAACAACATAATGTTAAATGCCGAAAGCCGTATTGCTCTCTCTCTCTCTCTCTCTCTCTCTCTCAAGATGAATATTTCGGCACGTGGGGCAGGGGACTGGCATCTGTGAAAATTACGTTTCACCAGTAATTTACCAGGGATAATGTGACGCTCTCTCGAATCCTTAAAATGAATGGAAAAGAGGACCTTCTTAACCGTGTAATTTTCTCGACGCCAGTTTCTTTCACGGAAACTCTCACGCCCTCTTATACGACCGCAGTTTACGATCCTGAGGCCGCTACGGGAAGCGCTGCGAAATTCAAACGTGTACCTGCGTACATTTATATCCCGAGTACTCGTGTACTTATCCATAAGTATATTACACTGCAGTGAAGAATAGTCCAGAATACGGTTGCAGGCTCCATTTTCAGGGTTAAGAAATAGACATTTAATTTAGAGAAAAAAGAGACACGAGTGTCAAGGAGAACGTT